AATGGTCATTTAAAATCTCACACATTTCTGCGGGTTTTGTGAAGGAATTATCACCACTTTTTAGTTCACTTATTGAAGAGTTACGATATGTTAATTCATTGATTGTCCTCCATATTTCCTTCGGGTTACCCACATTTTGTTCCACTTCTGATTTATAATAATTTGCTTTTGCCATTTTAATCTCATTTTTTATTCTATTTCTTTCTTTTCTATATTTATCCCAGATAGATGGCTGTTTTGTTAATATAGCCTGCCTTTTCAGTCTGTTTCGACCTGTTATCAGCTCCCTCAGATAAGTAGAAATCCAAGGGGATTTTTTATGTCTTACTCGCCGTGTTCTTATGGGCGCATGAGAGAGAGGTAGTTAAGGAAACCAAGTACAGTGAGTACTTCAGGTTTAGATCTAGGCTTGGGCATGTTCTTGATGGCAGAGACATTTTCTGGATCTGGCTTCAATCCATCCTTTGAAATCACATGGCCCATGAATTTCACTTCGGCTTCTCGAAGCTTTACTTTGTTCTTGTTAAGCTTCCAGTTAACTTGCTTGGCTTGTTCATGTCAACGAATCACATTTTGATCATGGTTTACAAGGGCTTTGGAGTCAGTATCACCACAACCAACCACAAGGATATCATCTCTGATGACTTTCACTCCGGGTAGATGTGCGAGGCACTCATGTAGTTTGCTCTCAAAAACTTCGGGGGCTAAAGTTATACCAAAGGGCATTCTTAAGTAACGATATCTTCCAAGGGGTGTCCAGAAAGTAGTGAGTTTCCTACTCTCATCATCAAGGCTAACTTGATAAAATCCATCCTTTGCTTCAAAGGAACTGAAGATTCGTGCTTTGCTGAGGTCAGGTAAAAGTTCCTCTAAAGTAGGCATTTGGAACCTGAGGCGTTGGACTCCACTGTTTAGGTCTTTTGGATCCAAACAGATTCGAATCTTCTGAGGTTTTGCAACTATCACCATACTGCTGATCCACTCTGCGGGCTCAACTGCTTTCTTGATAATGCCTTTCTCTTCCAACTCCAAAATCTTCTTCTTTACATCGTTCTGCAAGGCTACAGGCACACGTCTAGGGGAGTGCTGCACTGGTGTAACATTCTTATCAACCACAATCTTTGCGTCTCCAATGTGTCCTAGGCCACTGAAAACATTTGGTGTAGACTCTCAGGGACACTGACATTCAAACGGATGAGTTGCAACTTTTCGCATGTGTCGGCTGACAGCAAGGGTTTGCACTTGTTTTCAACAACTTGAAACTTCAGAGTCTTCTTTGTGCCTTTGTGCTCCACATGTAATTTGCATTCACCAAGTGGCTTTAACGTCAAACCACCAACTAGCTTCAGTTTGACAGATGAGTTGTCCATGGGTGGATCTCCTAACTGTGTAATGATTGAGAGGTCGTCCAAACAAAGTATGTTGCAGGTAGCTCCAGTATCCAGTTGACAGGCTAAGGTTGTTGTAAAATCTTCTTCAGCTGATTTGAAGAAACTGACATCTGCGAACCACTGCTTTGCTTTAGTCTGTACCAGGGAGACAGTTTCCACTTGCAGGCAGCTTTCATCAGAGCTTTCTTCGTCTTCTTCAAATTGTTGCACTTTTTTGGATGAGCGACTCCGGACGCAAAATGGCCCTTTTTGTGACACTTACTGCACGTTTGCTTTAACGCGGGACACTCTGTTCTTCGTGTATGACAATGTTTACGACCACAATACTTGCATGTCGGTTCAGCAGAACTTTCGGAATTCTTATTCTCGTTTTTCTTCTCTTTCTTTGAGGATCTGGATCCATCTCTCTTCTTTCAACAATTTGTATCTCCGATTTTCTTGTCACGAAGTTTCTTGACGTCTTCTGTCTGCTTGTCTCGGGTGGCTTCGATCGTCTTCATCTGGTGCGAAGCTGTTTCGCTCGATGTGCACATTTCTATGGCTTTCTGAAGGGTCAGGGATTTTTCTCTCAGAAGCCTGACTTTGTCACCTTGATTGTTTAATCCGATGACCAATCTATCTCATATAAACTCGTCTGTTTAAGCTCCATATTCACAGGACGCGGCTAGTTTCCTCAATCTTGTGACGTACGTTTGAACGGATTCTTCGCTTGTCTGTGAACAAGTGTTAAAAACATACCGCTCGTACACGACATTTCTGGTCGGCTTGAAATATTTTTCCAGAGCTTCGAGACATTTGTCGATTTTCTTATCTTCCTCAGACAGGTTAAGGTTAAGTAGAATTTGGAGACATTCTCGTCCCATCGCTGATCGCAAAGTCGCAAGACAGACCAATTCCTCTCGCTTGTCGAGGCCTGTCGCGCTTTCATAATCGCTCAATTGCTGTTTAAAAAACTCCCAGGTGCCAGCAACATCACCTTGACATTTCATGGAACTTGGCAGCAGAAAATTTGACGCGATAAGCTGACGATAAGCTTGCGGAATAGCTTGTGCTTGTGCTGTGCTTGGTGTTGACGCTGATGGCGTGGAAATTTGCGCTCTCGACTCCACGCGGTCGTTGTCTGCCGGCATCTTCTCAAACTTTGAGCGGACAATTTGCTTCGAAATTACGGACAAAAGAAGGAAACAGCATCAGTGTGCCGCCAACAGCATTAACTATTCGTAAGAGAAGCTGGACTCTTCAGAAGGTAAACTTTACTTCTGACACCATGTTTCAATAGACATGTATCAGACTCGGTGAGAATCATACTAGCTTTTTAATGACCAAATATGGACCACACAAAGCAACAGTAACACATGACCTGGCCTACTTCAATAATGCAATATTGCAACGTAAGCGAAGTGGCCCAAAAACTGGAGGAGCGCGGAGAGGCGCTCGGAAGATCTAGAAGAAGATTATACAAATTTTTACAAGAAAAATCAGCCGGTAAAGAGCCATGTTTACGACGCAAGGAAGATAGCAGAGATAAACAATTACGATAAAAGGCAGACGGCTCGGAAGACAAAGGAATTGAACGAGAAGAAAAATCAAAACTAGGATCAAGATTAGAAAAGCGGTTTCCGAAAAAGCAGTGAGCTAAAAAGTGCCATTTGCATGTGCCGAATCCCTCCCAATACCCAAAGAGACTCGACAAACGCAAACTTGAACACTTGGTTTCAAAATCAACAATATTCAAACCCCCACGCTCGATGGGGGCCACACAACGTGCTCGGCTTACAGTTTCAGATTTTGATTTCCAGATAAAAGGCCAGACGGCTCGTTTGTTTTCAACAGAAACCCAGTTTGGGGAGGATAGTACTTTGGCAACATGCCAAAATTTACTATCCCGGAGAACGTTTAGAATCATTCCTCTGCCTAGAAAAGAAAGATCTCTTTGCGACCACAGCCCTAAACTTCTCTTTAACTTATCTAACTTGCAATGCCAATTCTCTTCATCAATATTTACTAGTCCATTCGAGAAATAAACCCCTAAGATCTTGAGTTTATTAACCCATTGTAAACCAAAGGGGGAGGCGCCATTAGCTCTCCACCTACCAAGCCACATTGCCTCGGACTTGGAGGTGTTGAGCTTGGCCCCAGACCCCCCCTCGTATTTGTTCACAGTCTCTAGAAGGTGACAGAGAGATCTCTCGTTCTTTACGAAATTAGTGAGGTCATCACCATACTGTGATACTTTAAATTGAAGGCCACCTGTTCAGGGGAGCAGGAAGCCTTCGATCCCACGGTTTTTACGGATCTGATTTGATAAGACTTCGGAGGTTAAAACGTAGAGAACGGGGGAGAGACGACAACCCTGCCTAACCCCCCTCCCTAAGAAAACAGGAGCAGAAAGTTTACCGTTAGAAATGATCCGTGAAAACACATTCGAATAAAAAATTGAAACCCAACGGCAAAAGGATGGACCGAAACCAAACTTACTTAATACTCTCATGAGGAAATCGTGATCTACTCTATCAAAAGCCTTCATTTGATCAAGCGAGACTAAAATTCCGGTCTCGTCCGTTTTGTTAATCATATCTAAGGTATCGCGGATCAAATGTAAGTTAGAAAAGATCGATCTATTAATTACACTACAAGTTTGATCAGAGTGAACGATTGAGGGCATAACTTGTTTCAGACGGTCGGTAATTATTTTGGAAGCTAATTTGTAATCACAATTAAGAAGCGATATGGGCCGCCAATTCTTAGCCAAGCATTTATCATCCTTATAAATAAGGCGCAAGAGCGCTTTGCGCTGGCTCGCACAACCAACTCGAAAACAGTCATTCAAAACAGCAAGCAGAGGGTCACACAACAAGTCCCAGAAAGCCGAGTAAAATTCAACAGGAAGGCCATCAGAACCAGGCTATTGCTATTGTCTGAAGGCCTTTCAAAGCGGCAAAACCCTCATCTTTTGTGAATAATCCCTCGCATTGTTCGCGTTCTAAATCAGACAAAGAAAGGTCAAGATCATCTATAATTTGGGTCTGAATTTGCATATTAAGGGAACCCTTGGAGAATAAACCTTTGTAAAAGTCAACCAAAATAAGTTCAATGTCATTATGCGAGGATTTTTCCTCGCTAGATTCATTTAAAAGAGACTCAAAAATATTCCTTTCCGTGCGTTTATGCTCAAGGCGAAAAAAGAAACGAGTGGGCTTCTCGCCCCCCTCGATTCACCGCTCACGAGCGAACCTTAGCGCCCTTGCCGTCATTATTAATGACTGCCTCCAAGGCGCTCTCAAGTTTGTTTACATTAGAAATCTGGTTGCTATTGCCAGCAACAACAGCCGATTTTGCTGTGAGTAAGCGCTTGGTTAGAGAAATGCGTTCGGAAAGAAGTTGTCTACGTTTTCGAGAAGAGAAATCTATACAAGTACGACGAATCTGAATTTTCAAGTTATCCCACCAACCTTCAAGCGAGTCGAACAGAGGAATCTTTTCGTGCTCAGAAGTAATCAATACAGTCATAGTATTAATAAAATTGTTGTCAGAGAGAAGTGAGCAATTAAATTTCCAAACACCGCTTCCGTGCAAAGAAACATTAACCAGGGAAATAAATAAGTTGGCAAAATCGTGATCAGAAAGAGAACAAGGAAAACACTTATTTCCGCGAACTGACTGCAAAAGAGAGGAAGAAATATAGAAGCAATTCAGGCGAGAAGCCTGGGAAAAATCTTTATTAGACCAGGTGAAAGAAATCGCTTTCGGATTTTGCTTGCGAAAGACATCAACAAGGCAGAAATCGGACTTGAGGGCTGACAAGCAACACTTGTCTGCCCTAAAGTCCGATTTAATATGCAAGCGGTCAAGTTCAGAATAAATACAACTAAAATCGCCACCTAAAATTAAATCGCCGGGTGACGGAAAAAAGGTATGTAGATGGTTGGAAAATAATTTACGATCGGACACGGTGTTTGGAGCGTAAACACAAATAATATTAAAATTTAAAGAGTTCAGATCGGCAAGAAGGCTCAGAATTCTACCATCAGTGTCGTGGACATAGCGAATGATCTTACCAGAAAATTCAGGAGAAACAAGAATAGCTACGCCGGCAGATTTGCCGATCCCAAAGGACCAAAAACATTGACCTTTAAAACATTTTTCAACATCTTAATTTTCGTTTAACTCATGGAGAAAGAGATCGCGTTTACAGGTAGTGCCTAGTCCATGAACATTAATGGTAAGAATTCTAAGTGGATTATATGTGAAGGTAGTTAATGAAAATAAATTAATAGGACTTACTCTTATGCTTGCGATGGGACACCTTTGTCCAACCTTCGCTTTCTGAGCCAGACTCGCTCCCACTTTGATCATAGTCGCGATAAGAAGAGCAATCGCGATCCCCTTCTCGATCGCTCCTCTCACCTCTTCTGTAGTCCTCGTCATCTCTATGTCTCCTGTCATAATGCTTATCGTGCTTCCTTTTTTCTTGTTCCCTCCGATCTTCGCGGTCTTTCTCTTCTCGCTCCTTCTCCTTGCATTCTTTCTCCTTTCTGTCTTTCTCCTCCTCCTTTCTCTCTCTCTCTCCTTCTCCCTCCACGCGCGTTCCTCGCGTCTCACGCACTCGTCTTCTTCTCACTTGGTCCGGCTGATATCCTCTTCGGCTTTTCTGGCAGTGTCCACGAGTTTTCCGGTCTTAGCGGCCCCAGAATATGATTTCTCCTTCTCAGCAGGCTTGTCAGTAGGCTTCGCACCGGTTATATTGGAACTGCAATAAATGAAAGGACAGCTTGAGGTCTCGTGACCATTGGCAAGGCATACACAGCAAAGCGCGGGCATATCACACTGTTCGGCGCGGTCGCCGGGCCGCTCACGATTAAAGCAACGTTGAGACTTGCAAGCGGCCGCGAGATGCTCTTCGAACTGCATTTGCGGCAGGTCTTGAGCTGGAAAGGATACCAAAACCGCACGAATTCGCCGGCAATGAAGGTTTGGGTGGGGATGGGACGCTCGATAAACATTCGTGCGGTGCAAACGCCATTTCAAATGGCATCTGCCATGGGCTCGCGACGGAAAGAAATTACCCTGCCATAGTGGGCTAGATGGCCAATGACAACAGAACCCGGCATCTTGTCGGGAAATTCATAGACCTTGACAATTGAGACTGTTCTCGCAGTCTCCAAGCAGAACAGAATAGCCGGCAATTGTGATGAAATGCTTGTTGAGACGGGCGTCCTTCACAGCTTTACTACCGAAGGTAACAACCCAGGAGTTATTGCTCGCTCGGCGCTGAATTGAGGTTATGTCGTCGATATCAATTCCGGCATTATCCAACCCAACAATAATATCTTGGCTGGTAATTACTGTATCAACCAAGAAGCAAACCGAAAGTTCCTTGCGAATAGGAACAGCGTTCCCTCACATGTTCCACGCAGCACACGGCATGACTTACAAGTGGTGCCCAGAATTCTGAAGTCTTAACAACGCGTCCAAAAGTTCCGGGGGGTGATCAGAACCATCCATCAGGTTTTCAGAGTCCAGGGGCGGCGACGGTGACGGTGACAGGGCGGTAAACAGGTCAGGTGACGTACTCGGCTCATTAACAGATTCACTGATTACTTCAATGAGAGGCTCTACCACAAGTGTGGGAGCATCAGTGCTAGACATCTCGCAAGATGAGAGATGGGCTCCTCTTTTGTCCACCTTAAGAAAAAATCTAGGGGGGCCCTCTGACTTATCTTAGCCAAAAGGCCGAGAAGCAATGCCCCTTTAGGTCCTCCGGACCTAGGGTGGTTGGCTCCTTCCCCATCCTAGATATGGTGGTTGCAATACTGTCGCATCCCATGATGCATCTGGCACTCTATGCGAGGACAGGGAGATATCATTGGCTCAGTCCGAGCACAGATACTCTGCCAAGCTCTTCAGGACACTACAGTTTGTATAGACAGGGATCAAATAACGTCTACATGGTACCGAGGCCCTAACAGCTCGGCCATTAACCTATAGGAGGACAGGGAACATGAAAACGAGGCAGACTGTGACCGCTTACTAGGCCCTAAAGGTCTTTAAAGCCCGCAAAGCTCCATGTAAGTGGCCGCATAAATTTATTTACAGCTACAAAGGAAGACTTCACAGCCTGTTTTGTAGGTCAGGGTTGCCTGAGGAGGGTAATGAAGTAATGCCTTGCTTACATGTTCACCATACTCGGTATAAGAAGTCAAATTTTCTCTCTTTTCTCTCGCCTACGACCATACCACAGGGAGAACACCGGTTCTCGTCTGATCACCGAAGTTAAGCCCTGTCGGGTGGGGTTAGTACTTGGATGGGTGACCGCCTGCGAATACCCCGTGTTGTAGGCTTCTTTTGTTTATTTTTCGTTGAATTTTTTCATCATTTTTGCTGTTTTACCGCTTGCTGGAATGTACCTCTGCTGTCAGTTCCAAAGTTACGCCGAATTATTCTTTGAAGTAATCAAGACCGCCCCAATACCATCCACATCTGTACAAACAACATTATCAGCACCACGCAGGGCGGGGATCCAACGATCAGCAGACTGCTTACGGTCACTACGAAAAAAGAAAGCAGTAGAGGCCTTCCCATCTTCAATCCACTGAACAAGAACCCTCACTCTGGCCCCTTCTGCCTCAACATGGTCCACATGCTCTAACTCGGCAAGGGGACACTGATACGGGTCTAAACAAGATACCACACCGTTGTCAACTTGGTGCTTCCAATGGTCAACAAGACGTACCAAGGTGGCGCGTCGCGCTCGTCTACGAGAGGCCCGGTTTTTACAGTACGTGATGGTAAGACCCTTTAACCGAGACTTTCCTCTCTCCCACCAATCCGCCACAGACGGAAAAGACTCCCTCCTGGAACACCAGTGCGACCAAAAAGAGGAGATGATATTGATGTATTCATCCTCCGACAGAACAGAGCAATTGAGCTTCCACAGACCAGGCCCATGCTCCAACACATCAGGGACCTTGGTGGACAACAAGACAGCACAGGGGTCCGAGAAAGGATATGGGATGATATCACAGGAAATTAAAGAGGCGGACCACGACACTGGGAGACCAATCAGATCGATACGTGAAGCAAAAGCCTTGTTCGGTCTCATCTAAGTGAAAGCCCGGACGTTGGGATGTAAAGAGCGCCATGCATCAAAAACACAACTGTCATCAAAAAGGCATGAGAGCGCAGCAGAACTGTCTCGTAGAATCTAACGGGTCAGATCGCGACCTGTCTAAACAAAAAATCACCGCACACAAGTGTCAGAACCGACGGATCAACTCAAGAAACTCATCCCGAGCAGGGTTCCTGTTGGGAGCGTAAAGACACAAAACACGGAAAACTTTGCCCCGAAACAAGAACTCACAGAAAGCGAGCCGTCTATCATCATCCTTCCAAGACCGCACTAGAGACAGGTGAGGCTGATAAAGCACAACACAGCCACACGCATGCCTCGAGCCAGAAGAGACCAGCAACAACAAACGGGTAGCTGAGAAGCACAAACGACACTCTTCCTCACAAACACAATGTGTTTCCTGCAAGCAAACTACATCCACCGACACAGGCAGGGACCACAACCAACGAAAAACACCACCACGTTTGTCCGACATGTGTAAACCATTCACGTTTAAGGTTGCTAAGTTGAGGGTAGCAGCCATCTCATTTGCGGCGTTTGGACAACACACCCCAGTCCAGAGCGGCCTTACGCAAACCTGGAGTAAGGCCAGCAGGGCGGGAGCTAGCAGTCTTATGAACACCAGCACTGGGAGCCTTGGAAATTTTAGAACCAACTGCAACAGGCAATTTTGACGGGGAAGGCCGACCACCCGAAGAGACAGAGAGGCCACACAAGTTGGACCCAGGACTAACAATATTAACGCTAAGTACTGAATTTTTAGTTACTACTTCCATATTTGCACTCGATTCATTATCACTATGTACCACATTTCCACTAAATTCCATTTCATTATCACTAGATTCCTCTTCAGATAATAAACCTTCACTGCTAGTTTCATAGACATTATCATTAATATCCTCTTTATCTATATTACTAGATTCTTTAGAATTAGCAATATTTAAAGCAGAATTGGAATTTGAACCATCAACACATAAATCAGAATTTGACGTTTGGACAACAGCTCCAAACAGTGAATCTGACGAATTTGGTGCAGCGCCAATAGACCCCTCAACAACAGAATTTGGGGTCTGGACCACCGCCCCAGACAAGGAATCGGGAGAATTTGGAGCATCACCAATTTGCCCTCCAGAGGGGACTTGACTATTCAACTCGTCCAACTGGTAAACGCGAGTATCCATTTGAGAGTCGGCACTATCCGCACTCTCGCCCGACACGGAAACATCCACAGACTTAGTGACAGCAGCCAGAATTGATTGACTAGCTGCCAGTGAGTGGGCACTATCCGGACTCACAACCAACGGGGGAACTCTAGAGGGACCATCCGAACTCCCGGCGGAAGGCCCAGACACAACATCAAGGACTGGGTTGCCCGAACCCTGAGAGCCGGCACCATCCGCACTCCCGGCCTGTGCCGCAACGGAGGAATCTCCATCTGGCAGAGTTTCAACCTCCTCATCCGGGTGCAAAGGCCGTTGACGCCGGACAGGGCACTTCCGCTGGAAATGCCCAGGCTGTTTACATTCCATACATTTGCCTGTCATTTCACAATTTTTGCCAATGTGCCCCTTCTTTCCGCAAATATCGCATTCAAGTTCCTGCCCAACATATGACACTTTCACAGGGAACCCATCTATAATGAGATTGCGGGGAATGGTACCAGTACGCACCATTCTCACCGTACAGACCCCATCGCAAACCTCCGCGAGGTGAGTCCAATGACGAAAACGCACCGACTCAACCTCACCAAAAAACTTAACGCATTCCGTACCACACAATGCTCGATCCCGTAAGGAAAATTATAAATCAAGACATTTTGGGGACGAGGCCCTTCCCCCCACGAATCTCGCAATCTACACCATTAACAGTGCAACCAATAAAGGCGACCAAGAAACCTCAAACAAAGGAAACCCAGTGCAACCAATAAAGGCGACCAAGAAACCAAGGGACGCACTCATTTGAAGTAAAGAAAACTCTTAGCCACTGACGACTAAGAAAAACAAAGCACAGCAAAAAGGCACCTCAAGCTTAGAGACGGCAGTAGAAAGACCAGTCGAACACCACACCGTCAACATCGTTGGCACCCCACTGCCTAACTTTGCGATGTAAGGTCGGAGGGTATTGATTTTTTGCACAGATGTTGTACTTCTCTAAAGCTTTGTGACTACAAAAGAAGGTGTCATAAAAACAATTAGGACGCATTAATTATGCACTTAGAAATTTAGCCATAAATTAGAAACCTTATACCTAAATGAGAAAGAAATCATGCTCTTTACAGCAAAAGTATTGAAATTAATTGTAGTTGGTGGCCACGGTTAAGGAGTTACTGTGTGTCACAAGTATGACATCTTAATAGGAGCCTTACCTCCGGCCTTTTTACCAACGTTAATTGTGCTTACATGTCGAATAAATTAGATAAGACTGGGTATTTATTTTATTTGCGCAGCACAACTGTCCTGTTCAAAAATAATAGTGCGTGGTGTGCAGGTCATGCACGAGGACTCAAGAATGCGGCGGAGGAGTTAAAAATGACTCTTAGAGGTAGTGATACTTAGTTGCAGTGACAACTTTCTCCATGTAGTTAGAGTAGAACTGGAAAAGTAAGCTTCACCGAGTTAACAATACCCGCGTTTACGGAGTGTGTAATTAGAACAATTTACAACATATATACCAGATTATCTACTTGACAAAATAATGGAATCCATGCCGATAAAACCGTTAATTCTTCTATGACAACCAAGGCCAAAAGAACAAATATTAATGAAGAACTTCCAAAATGGGTAGAAATAGGATGTGTAGGGAAAGCAATGCCTCTTTGATCACAAATACAGCGAAAACATGTTGTCACGCGATGGCAGTTCTTTTGTGGCAAAAAACAGCGCATTTCATGACAATTACACCAGTGTCAAAAAGTTTTCCCTTGAGTAAAAAGGTCTTTTTAATGCTTGAAAATCAACAAAAAGGTTCTATATACTACGGAAAATGCTTGAAAGCACCGTAAACGCTTGAAATAAACGATTAACAGGCACGCACATATTTATTCCAACGGTTAACAACGGTTAACAGCGGTTAACAGAATATATTAAAGGAAACTGATAGTCTAACTGTTGTTTTTCTTCAGAAAAGTTGTTAACCGTCGTTAAGCGATGTTTCTTTCCTCTGCGGTACTTTATTCGTTAAGTTAACCGTCTGCGAGAAAAACTACTCCGTTTTTGTTGCATAGCAAGCTCATCGAAGCACCTTACACATCAAGGGATTTCCCGTTATTGTTCCCGCGGGATCTGCGTGGAGAAATGAGAGATCCATCATACCACATTCCTGTTCGTACACAATTCCATATTTGCTGTAACTGAGGCAATGTCCTATTAAGTGTAGGATCTTTGCACTACACTTGGCGAACCACGTAATCACTGCTAAGGCAAATTACTCGCGGGATGGAAAAATGAGCCAAATTCGCGTGACTGTAAGTGACCAGGTAAGCGCACTAACCTTCCTCTCACCTAGTGATTCATGCGATATTTCCGAGCCTCCTGAAAATGATTCGTCACTATCGGAAGTTCTCGAGAGATCCATTTTGTCTGGCGATTACATATCAATGTCATCATTTGAGCAGGCAAAGCGTCTACGGACACGTAAGCCGTTGGAAGTCATGCCCATGGTAACATCACAGAGTAAATGTCATTTGACAGATCATGTAATCAGAGTGTTATAACTTCAATTTTTACTGTAAGAATTTTATTTCGCATTCAAAAGAAAAAAAAAGTATGCTGAAACAATGGCTTTTATCAATTTGACCAAAAGAGAGGACCATGAAAGTTAAAGAATACCGAAAACAGTCTGCAGACAACCCCGCACAAAACCTGTTGACACAAATCGCGAAAATGCCTATTTTTTCCTGTCACCCCGGCAAAAACTGAAACCGCCGCCAAATGAATGCCCGATTTCCCCCCTCCCCTTATCCAAAGTTGTTTAGGATAGCATGGCAATTATACACGTTGGTTTTTAGACCAAGGCAACTTTGAATAGGGGGTGGGGAGGGGGTTTACTTTTTGTGTTTAGGGGGGACGGGAGTAGGGCGCAAAAGTTAGAAAATAGATGGAATTGTCTCATCAGTTTTGTCTGGGGTTGTAGATTCAGTAGGTAGACAAAAACATGAGGGACCACAGCGAGCTCCGAGGCAGAGAAACCAAAAAGGACATGACGACACAACAAAGGGGGACACAAGGACGAGGTACGAAACATAAGAGACTGAATCCAGCTAGGAACACTCTGGGCAAGAGCACATTCAAAAAATAGGTGAGACGGAGTCTCTAGAGCACCACAAAAACAGTTAGGGTCGTAGTCATACCCAAAAGAGACCAAACGATCAGCGGTGTAAAGAACACCATGGGCAACCTGCCAGGCTACATCAATCACCAGTCTGTCTAAGGGACAGAAGCTGAGCTGCCTCCAGATGGTAGGCCAGTACAACGAACCGTCCAGAGGAAGGAACTTTTCCTCGCAGTGCGGAGGGACAAAATTGACGGATAGCAAGTACAGGTAGGCAGATTTGGCAGACATAGAGGAGGCCAAGGCAAACTGGTGGGGATCAGTCGAGGCCATCACCAAAGCTGAACGAGACCGAGAAAAAGAACCATCTACCGCCACCAAGCCAGTAACAGTGACTGATAGAATGGAGGTAAGGCGCGAGGACTGAAAGCAAAGGGGCAAGAGAAAACCTCCGTCGGAGAGAGATTAAATACAGAATAGAACCAGAATCCCATGAAACCAGACCAGCTGGATTGGGCCATCACAAAGCGTCTCACCCACTGAACAAGCAAAGACTGGACCTTCAATTTGACATCCACAACTGAGCAACCGCCAACTGAAGGGGCCTGACGACTACTGCACAAGCAACAAGATCTTTTTTGCCCTTCCAGAAAAATAAAAAGAGCAGCCTCAACAGTTCCCCCAAGACCCAGGGAGGCATTTGGATGAGAGAAGCGACATACCACACCCGAGAGAGGGCCAGAGCATTAATGACGAGCGCACGGCCACGAAAGGATAGAATACGTTGGCGCCAGGAAGAGAGGGTATTCTCAACCGCAGCGATACGAGGCTTCCAATTGACATCATCAAGGTTGCCTGGACCTAGAAAAACCCCGAGAACCTTAATTTTGACGGACAACCAATCAAGAGTAACGGGCGGGTCGGAGCAGTTGGCCCAAGGCCCAAGCCAGAGACCCTTAGACAGGTTAAGTTTAGAACCAGAGCCACGCTCATATACATCAGAAACCTCAAAACAAGCGCGGATGGCATCATCAGAACACACGACCAGCGATGTGTCATCAGCGTACTGTGAAATCGGAGATCCGATGACCCGGGGAGACAAAAACCTTTGATACGAGGATTGGCAGGAATGCTGCAAGCTAATACCTCAGCCACAAGAACATGCAGAAGGGGAGACAGAGGACAGCCCTGCCGGACACCACAAGAAAGAGAAAAGAACTAGGACAAGTAACCATTAACGTTGACAGAACTTTGCACACTAGTGTAGAAGAGATTAACCCATTTCAGGAAGGACGCACGAAACCCCATTTTACGAAGAGTGGAATGCATGAAATTCCAATCCACCCTATCAAAGGCCTTTTCTTGGTCCAGAGACAAGATCACAACCGGAGCATCAAAAGTAGTGGCATACGAAATGACATCGCGAAGCAAAGCAATGTTCTCCCCAATGTACCTGCCATGGACCCCACAAGTTTGGTCTTTGGCAACTATCAGATGGATGACTTTTAGAAGCCTGGCAGCGACAGCACACGCAGCTAATTTATAGTCCACATTAAGAAGTGATATGGGACGCCAGTTCCGCCTATCAAGACGATCACCCTTCTTAAAAGACAATGAAATAACGCCCCTTCACTGAGAAAGAGTCAGGGAACCAGCTAGGTAACAAGAATTAAGCACTTGAACAAGATCCTGCCCCAAAACACTCCAGAACTTCAGATAGAACGCTTCCGGAAGGCCATCCAGACCAGGAGTCTTCCGCCTGGCCATACTAGTCAAAGCTTCAAAACATTCTTCTACCATCAGCAAGCCTTCACAAGACTCCGACTGATCAGACGGAAGAGACGACTCAACATTTGTTGAGAAGAGACTCTTGAGCGGCAACATCAATGGATTCAGCCGAAAAGAGAGACGAGTAGAAAGATGCGAACGACTGACAAAGGTCGTCAGGGGACGAAACTATCGCACCAACATCATTCCGCAGAGCGGCAATCCAGCGATCAGCACCCACCCTCCTCAATCCAGCGCGTTCAAGCTCACACCTGGGCACCCTTAGCAACTTCCACAGCTAAGTCAGCCAACTGCTGAAGCACGAATTGGTAAACCCCAACCAAAGAACTAAAGAAAGATGGCCATTATCAACCCGCTCCTTAAGATGGGCAGAAAGCCGGGAAAGGAGATCTCTCCTAACAGAAGAAGCAGACGATTT